GCCTCCCAAACTAGGATTATAGGCATGGCCGCTGAGCCCAACCTTAGGCAAGGTTCTTAACCATGGAACCTTGGTTTTTCTCAGTTTCTCATCTGTAAATGAGAAACTACCTTATAGGATTGTGGCAAGTATTAAATCAAAGTCCACATACACAGCTTAGATAAAGAGCATATTGATGATGGTGATTATTTAGCTGAAAGGCTAATTGGTTTTGTCATTCTTTTTTTGAACATAGATCTATGACTTGTTAATCATTTTGAGGATTTATTTGGGAAGCACACAGTCATTGTTGGGGGTTTCCTCAATAACCAGTAGTCTTATGCTCAAGGTGGAACCTAACATTTGCATTTGCAGAATGTAGTAGCATGGAGCTACCATGAACTGACTGTGTTGATCACTCTTCCCAGGTGAAGAACATCATTTACCATGCAGTGAAAGATGCTGTTGGCACCCTCAAGGCTCATGAATCCAAATTGGCAAGGTCTTAGGCATGGAGAAATTCCAAACTCTCCTGTGAAGCAGGTTTTTCACTCACAACACTTACAGGGAACAGCAGGGATTTCTGCTGGAGCAGAGGCCCTTCACCTGGAGCCAGTGTGGTCAGTATTACAAACTCTACAGCCACTCTTTTGTATGCTGCCTCAACACCGAAGGTTGACACAGGAACGTCGCACTGTTCGCACACACAGTTTCAGACTCCAAGCCAAGGGTGTCACATCCCCATCCTGTGGCCTTTGGGGAATCCGAATTGCCTGAACATCACTGGGCTTTCTTGCACGTTCTCCTGAAATGAAATTTTGTGGAAACCAGGAATGTGGGCACACCTTTGTTTTCTTTTCCTTTTGTGCCTAGTTAAGTGGGAATGTGTTTGAAGGTAGAGGGAATCACATAACTGGTACAGGTAGGGGGTAATTGCTTAAACATGCCTGGTGGAATTCTAACAGTGTCTCTGCACGTGACCTCTGACAAGGCCCATCCCAGAAGATGGGGTGAAGCCGTTCACCCCAGAAGACGGGGTGAAGCCATTCCCCACACTTTTTCCCATAAACAGTGGAGTCATATAGGACCCAGGGAGAACCCACTGCTTTTCCCAGGAGGCTCCAGGATTAGGAAACGTGTGTATTTAGTGAAAAATAGGTTTGTAGTGAAATAGTTACTATTTCATGAAAGTAGATATTTTTAGAATTTTTGAAATACCACAGTTGTTTTCCTGGATATTGAGGAAAGGCACATTACATTTAGTCTTCCTTTCGAAAAAACTCTTTGAAGAAATATGATTTTTAGAAATCAGCTGCCCATTATAGCACAAAGTCAGCCAAAGCAGAACTTAAAAGAATTGGCATTTTAGAATTCTTTTAGTTTCTCTCCCTCCCATCTCAGTCATATCTTGAGGGAACAGTCATCTGAGAAAGAATCTGTCACGTCTGAGCTGTGGTGTGTTCTCTCCATGTACACACTGGTGACTCCAGGAACCGTTTTCACCTATTACCAGCGTTCCCTGGGGACTCCTCTCATGTTTCTAAACAGGAAGGACAGTTTGATTTCCAACATGAGGTTTTTTGTTTTTTGTCCAGAAATATTTCCAGCAAAACTTTCCAACTCAGTGGAGTTTTAAGAATTTATTTGAAAATGATGGAACTCATTGGCCCATGGGTACATTGGGAAATGTATCTCTTTCCAGCTGTACTGTAGTGCCCTGCAGGCTTGTTTATATGTTCACAGTTACTTTTTTTTTTTTTAATAAAAGTCATTTACTGTAGAATACTTTTAATTTCACTTCTTGTATTTTAATTTTGTTGAAGGGCTGATTGGGATTTCCATGTTCTTATTAAAAATCTAACAAATCTGTTTGGAGTGGACTATTATTCCTGTGCCTAGCCTTCTAAAATCAAGATCAAATTGAAGGCTAGATTGGAGGTAAAGGATTCATTTCCAGGTCTTCATTACTATGCTGCACCTAATTATTACTCTTTGCTTTCTGAACTTGTACCCAGCTGGGAGAAAGGAAAGTACCAGGGTGAGGTTAGTATGGTTTGGGGGACTTGGGGGTTAAAAGAAGAGGCTACATGGGGCAGCGCCTGTGGTTCAAAGGAGTAGGGCACCAGCCCCATATAACGGAGGTGGAGGGTTCAAACCCAGCCCTGGCCAAAAAAAAAAAAAAAAACTGCAAAGAAGAGGTTACATGAATTAGAAGATGAGAGGAAAGACAGGTCTCTTCAGTTTATGCTTTGTGAGTAGGAAAGGTAGGGTCCTTCCTTCCTAGGGCAGTCTTAGGGAACAGAGCCGTGGTAAATGGCCTAAGCAAGGTTTGGGGGAGTCATTTGTTGGATTTCTTTTTTTTTTTTTGAGACAGAGCCTCAAGCTGTCCCCCTGGGTAGAGTGCTATGGCTTCACTGCTGACAGCAACCTCCAACTCCTGGGCTCAAGCGAGCCTCCTGCCTCAGCCTCCCACGTAGCTGGGACCACAGGTGCCCACCACAACGCCCGGCTATTTTTTGGTTGTAGCCATCATTGTTGTTTGGCAGGCCCGGAATGGATTTGAACCCACCACCTTAGGTGTATGTGGCTGGTGCCTTAGCCGCTTGAGCCACAGGCGCCGAGCCTTTGTTGGATTTCTTAAAGCAAGAGTTCTGACTGCCCCCTTACGAAAACTGTGTCCCCAGATCCACCTTGGAGATGGTGGGAGAAGGCCCAAATGGGATTTATTTTTGTTTATTAAGTAGTGAAGTATCTTGAGGGGTGAGAATAAACTGCATTTCAATTAGAAGAGGCCTTTTGAAGAGGAAGTTGTGAAGAATAGCAAGTGGGGGGGGCCAGGTGCGGTGGCTCAAGCCTGTAATCCTACACTTGGGATGGTGGTGGGGGTGGATTGCCTGAGCTCACAGGTTGGAGACTAGCCTGAGCCAGAGCGAGATCTCATCTCTAAAAATAGCCAGATGTTGTGGAGGTTGCCTGTAGTCCCAGCTACTGGGGAGGTTGAGGCAAGAGAATCATTTGAGCCTAAGAGTTTGAGGTTGCTGTGAGCTATAACACTATACCACTCTACTAAGGGTGACAAAAATGAGACTCCGTCTGGGAAAAAAAAAAATAGCAAGTGGGGTCATCAGAGGCTGCTTCTCTGGAACCTTTCGAAAAACACTTCCAAAGCATTTGAACCTAGAAATATAATTACTAGGTTGGAAATAGACCATTGTGTGGTTCAAGGAGATTGAATTTGAATAAGACTGTACTCTTGTAAAATACAGAGCTCTGAGTGTATCCTTTCTACCTGGATGGGCACAGGTTGATGCTGTGGTCACCAGAAGTATTATACCTCAACATAAAGGATAGAGGAATGCAGAAGTTTTAAAATGGGACAGGAAAGGAAGGGAGTATACTAGAGCTGGTTTGGTGAAAATCAGGAGGCAGGCTAGCCTACATTCTGGATATAAATGTCTTCAGAATTAGGACATCCACTGCCAGCACTGTTGTTGATGGGGAAGGAACTATAGCCCCTGGGCTAATCTCTGGTATGGGTCCCAGGTCCTTCTCCTAGCCCTTCTATTTGGAAAGGTCTGAGACATTGAGGGGAGTATCCACCTTGAGTATACCAAACTCCATTTCCCTGCAAAGCTTAGAAACTGACAACATAAAAAAGCAGATTAGGCTCTGAGGGCATGGTGGCTTGAGCCTGTAATTCCAGCACTTTAGGAGGCCAAGGGGGAGGATTCTTCATCTGAGAAGTTCATGACCAGCCTGAGCAAAGTGAGACCCTTTATATTCTACTAGTATAACAGGTGCCCTGTATTCCCAACTATGTGGGAGGCTGAGGCAGGAGGATTGCTTGAACCTGGGAGTTTGAGGTTGCTGTTAGCTAGGCTGATGCCATGTCACTCTAGCCTGGGCAACAGAGTGAGACTCTTGTCTCAACAAAAAAAAAAAAAAAAAGAAAGAAAAGATTGTATGGCCAGAGGAGGCCCTCTTTCAATTGGGAGTGATTGGAGATTAGGGGGAGTGGACTAGACAGGTGCAGCTGTGCCTTTCACTTGAGTTCAGGTGGATGTCTTTACAGGGCCTTTGATGGGGGAGAAGAGTTTGCTAGTCAACAGTTTGAGGATGTGTAGCCTGTTGAAGTAGACTTCTTGGGTTCATATCTTAGCAGCATAACTTGGTGGTTTTGTGACTCTCAACAAATTACTCTAATTCCCTAAGCTTCCCGTCTCCTTATCTTCAAAATGAGGGTATTATAGCTGTCTTATTATAGGGTGGTCAAGAGGATTCACTGAAACAATGAATGTGAAGCTCTTAGCACAGGGCCTGGCACAGAATAAACACTTAAGAAATTTAGCGGCTCGGCGCCTATAGCTCAACTGGCTAAGGTGCCAGCCATGTACACCTAAGGTGGCAGGTTCGAATCCCCAGCCCGGACCCGCCAAACAACAATGACAGCTGCAACCAAAAAATAGCCGGGCGTTGCGTTGTGGCGGGCGCCTGTGGTCCCAGCTACTTGGGAGGCGGAGGCAGGAGACTCGCTTGAGCCCAGGAGTTGGAGGTTGCTGTGAGCTGTAATGCCACAGCACTCTACCCAGGGGGACAGCTTGAGGCTCTGTCTCAAAAAAAAAAAAAAAAGAAATTTAGCCATTGGCTCAGCACCTGTACCTCAGCAGCTAGAGTGCCAGCCACATACACCTGAGCTAGCATGTTCAAATCCAGCCCAGGCCTGCCAAACAACGACAACTACAACCAAAAAAGCTGGGCGTTGTAGCCAGCGCCTGTAGTCCTAGCTACTTGGGAGGCTGAGGTAAGAGGATCGCTTAAGCCCAGGAGTTTGAGGTTGCTGTGAGCTGTGATGCCACAGGACTCTACCAAGGGCCACATAATAAGACTGTCTCCAAAAAAAAAAAAAAAAGGCGGCGCCTGTGGCTCAAAGGAGTAGGGCACCAGCCCCATATACCGGAGGTGGTGAGTTCAAACCTAGCCCAGCCCCAGTCAAAACAAACTGCAAAAAAGAAAGAAAAGAGGGGCAGCACCTCTGGCTCAGTGAGTAGGGCGCAGGCCCCATATACCGAGGGTACCGGGTTCAAACTCAGCCCCGGCCAAACTGCAACAAAAAAATAGCCAGGCGTCGTGGTGGGCACCTGTGGTCCCAGCTACTCCGGAGGCTGAGGCAGGAGAATCGCCTAAGCCCAAGAGCTGGAGGTTGCTGTGAGCTGTGACGTGACAGTACTCTACCGAGGGCGACAGAGTGAGACTCTGTCACTAAAAGAAAAGAAATTTAGCCATTATTCCTCCTTCTTGAATTACAGAAGCCTTTCAGTGTGGTGTGAGCGCGGGAGGTGGGTTGGAGCTCGTTTCAGGACGGAATCAAAGGCCTCCAGGACCTCAGCCCAGGGCTTCAAACCCAAGAATGGTGAACGAACGATTAGAGGAAGACAGGGCACTGAGAACTGGCGGCGCATGCCCGGCCGCAGCAGGTGCCAGGGGTGGGGGCGCGCCGCCTTCGCCGCCGCGGCCTCCCCTTTAAGAACCGCCGCCGCCCACGGCTTGCCGCTGCGGAAGGGACCTCCCCTTTAACGGCGGCAGCTCGGTGCTCCGCTGCCCCCGCGGCGGCTGCTGCTGCGGCTGCTGCTGCTCCTGCAGCTCCTGCAGCTCCTGCTGCTCCTGCTGCCGCTCGGCCTCCGGCAGCTGCATCCTCGGCCCGGCCGGGTCCCCGCCCCGCGTTGCGCCCGGCCCCGCCATGGTGTCCTGGATCATCTCTCGCCTGGTGGTGTGAGTGCGGCCGCGGCGGCGGGGCGCGCCCCGGTGGGGGGTGATGAGGGCTAACGATGGAGGGACTAGGGTATTAAAGTTGGGGATGGACTACTCCCGGATTTCACACAGTAGGGTCATCTAAAGACACAGCGTCCCTATTTGGGGTCCCCAGAGACATGGAAATGTGGGACCCAGGCCTGGAGATGGAATATAAGGGGAGCATGACAGGCCTGGCTTCCCAGGGACCCCACCCACAATATTTTTTAAAAATGTTTTTATTTTTAATTTCTATTCTTATGCTCCATCCTAAAGGCTGAGTGGATGGTTTGATTTATAAAGGGATGCAGGCCTGTCCCCTCCCCCACTTAGCAGGTCTGAACTCCTCAGACCTGAGCCCCCATCCTCTGGGGGAAGAGGGGTAATAAAAAAGAGTGGGGAGCAAGGCAGGGCCACAGCTAGCCCCCTCTGGCTCCTCAAAGGGCCCAGGCCCTGCTCCTCCCTGCAGTGATGGTCAAGAGACTGGTGATGAGGACACGTGCCCTTAAAGCCCCCAGGGAGGATGTCTGGGTATCAAAGCTGAGATGCTTGGAGGACAAAGTGTGGGAGGTAACTGGGAGAGGAGGATGTGTATGCTTAGCCTGCAATTGTGAAAGCCACTGCAGGGAGGATGTTCAGTGGCCTTCATTCCAGGCTGCAAGCCCCACTGTGGAGCTTTGACCCTGGCCCCTCCCTAGGCTCCAGGAGGGAACGCACCCCAACCCCCAACCCCTTACAGGGACCTGGACTTTGTCCTTGAGCATTCTGCCCCACATTCCATCTACATAGGCCAATTTGGAAGTATCCTGACTGCCCCGCATTCCATCTGCATAGGTCAGTTTGGAAGTATCCTGCCCTGTCAGGTGGGCCATGTGGGAACAGATAGCATCCGCTCATTGTTAAAGGACTGGGCTGACTCCTGCTCCAGCTCAAGACCCTATCCCTCAGCGTCTACTATGGGAACTAACACCCCAGTACCCCCACCCAGCTGCCTTCTTCCCATTCAGTGCTGTCACATGCTCGTGTCCTGATTTCATCTAGACTCACAGGAGTCTCCCTATTTCTTTCCTCCCATCTGAACCAGAGGGAAATCTAGGGGCCTCTTCTATGTGACCTTCAGGGTGGCTGCTTCTCTCTTGCTTGGGCAAGCTCCCTAAAGGGCATTGGTCCTCTTCCCCACCTGTGTCCTATCTGTACGTCTGTACTCTGTAATGGGACCGCCAGTGAGGGCCCTCTCCTGAGCCTAGTCTCTGGGGCGTTTACATGGAGAAATAAACCTCTTGCCCTTCCCAGGGCCTCCTCCTCCTGTGCCCTCTGTTCCCCAGGTCCCCAGGGCCACAGTAGTGCCTCTGACTACCAGGTAATATTCTCTGTTAGGTGGTGTGAAGTTCCCTTGCAAAGGGGGCCCTACCCAGCCTGGCTCTAAGACAAGGAGGTAAGGGCAGATGTGTGTGGATGGGCATGAGGTAAAGAAGAAAGAGATCCTCGTGGCAGTGATAAGACCCTGACTCCCCATGACTCCCCAAGGATCATAGCTAAAGGGACCACACTGGACCCTTTGGCTTCTTGGTCTCTCCTTGCCTCAGGGACTAGAGAAAAACTGAACAATGGAGGGGGAACTGAACCCTCGCTGGTTGGGGTCTGGTATACATCCCCTGTATCCTTTTTTTTTTTTTTTTTTTTTTGCAGTTTTTGGTCAGGGCTGGGTTTGAACCCACCACCTCCGGCATATGGGGCCAGCACCCTACTCCTTTGAGCCACAGGCACCACCCAATCCCCTGTATCTTGACTGCTTTGACCTTAACTCCTGACCTGAACTCATCAGTCCAGCTGATGTGGCACTCGGGAATTCTGTCCCTTTTCCCCTTACTTACCCAGGGGCTGATGCAGAGCTGGGAGGGAGAGGCCACTGCCCTTGTCCGATGGGCCCAGTAACCATGCCTGCCTCCCTAGGCTCATCTTTGGCACCCTGTACCCAGCCTATTCTTCCTACAAGGCCGTGAAGACAAAAAACGTGAAGGAATATGTGAGTGGATAACCCTTCACCCCCTCACCCAGCCCACATGGCAGAGATAGGGGAGGACAGTGGGTCACATTCCTTTGTACCAGTGCCATCAGCTACTAAAAAGACTAAGCAAAAGAAGAGTCCTGGGCGTCCCATCCCCGTATTCCTGGCATGAGCAGGCAGGGTTGGGGGTCCTGAGCGTTCCTGGCCTCCTCCCCAGACTCCAGCGAATGCTGCCCTCTGTACCCTCAGGTGAAATGGATGATGTACTGGATCGTCTTTGCCTTCTTCACCACAGCTGAGACACTCACGGATATAGTGCTCTCCTGGTGAGGTCCAGAATCCCCTCCCTCATCTCAGGGCCCAGGGCCTCTGCCTTTCTCTATCCAGCCAGCCTAACAAAAGATGACACCCAGGGCGGACACCCTCTACTCCCAGCAGTCCTATGGGTTCCTCAGTATTCCCCCTGCTTTCCTGGCTTGGTCAGCAGAATACGAACAGACATAACCCCATTTTCTTTCTGGTGACAGCCAAAGCAGCACAAAAGAATTCAAGAAACCTTCCTCCACACTGCCTGTGGACCTTAGGCTGGTCACAGCTCTCTAGGCCTCAGTTTCCCTATTCGTAAAACAGGCATGTGATCAATCCCATTAACAGGGGACACTTGCATTTCCGAGGCATTCTTCAGGCACTGCTAGACTGTGTGTGTCTGTAAACAGGGATATGTCTCAATCATCTGTGTATTCACAGGAGCTCAGAAATGTTTACTGAATAAGGAAATGCCTCTTAGAAGAGGGGTAACACTAATAGTGGGACTCAAGAGAAGAAAGTTTTACTGAGGGAGAGAGGACAAGAGTTCATTGCATTTGTAGACAAGACTCTCATACTTGAGAAGAATAGTTCTAGTAGAGGAAGGGAATTGGGAAGGGGATGGCTTAGAAAGGAAAGGTAATGAGTATACTTTCCTCTTGACACGACCAAGGAAAGAGCTTTGATGTTGCTGTGAGGACAGAAGGGATCTGAAGGAGTTTGTGGCCTGAGAAGGAAGCGTGGGGAATAGAGAGAAATCCTAAGAGCAAGGGGCATGTCATGACAGCAAGGGAGGGACCCAGAACACTGTTAGAGTAGGCCCAGTCCTCTTTGTGGGAGGAGGCAGGAGGAGAAGAGGGTGAAGACCAGTCACAGGCCTGCAAGGTTAGAGAACTTACCTTGGTGTTGGCTCCAGAGCAGAGGAAGGGAAGTCTTCTCTAGGAGTGAGGAGGCAAGGAGAGCCACTGCTGGGGGAAATTTCTTCTGGGGTCATTTCTTACTTTCCCACCTGCAGTGCCACTGCAATTAGAAATGACCAGTTTTATGAGACCCATGTGGGACCCCAGTGCATTGAGGGGTATGGGGTTTCCATCACATGTGGGGCTAGCGCTGAGCCCTGCACACCTCCTGCCCCACTGCCCTACACTCTGTGCTCACCTCTGCCCCTCAACAGGTTCCCCTTCTACTTTGAGCTCAAGATCGCCTTTGTGATATGGCTGCTGTCCCCCTACACCAAGGGCTCCAGCGTGCTCTACCGCAAGTTCGTGCACCCAACGCTGTCCAACAAAGAGAAGGTTTGCCTCTACTCTCAGCTTACTTCCCAGCCCACCCCTAGCCAAGGCAGCCCAGTGCCTGCAGCCACGTACAGTCCTCCCTCTCCCTGTGGATGGTCAGAGCCTGAAGTGATCTGGCAGGACTGTGGCCTCCCAGAGCAGGCAGGACCTTTGCCCAAGTGTGAACAAGGGTAAGGCAGGCCTTGACAGCAGCACTCTCCTCTCACATCTTCCTCCTTCCCCTCCAACCCCTCAGGAGATTGATGAGTACATCACACAGGCTCGAGACAAGAGCTATGAGACCATGATGAGAGTAGGCAAGAGGGGCCTCAACCTGGCCGCCAATGCTGCAGTCACAGCTGCCACCAAGGTGAGATGGGGGCAGGCCCAGACTCCCAGGGCCCCCACCTTGTTCATCTTGTGCCTCTGGCCGAGCCCATCAATGTCCACTTTGTCCCTGGGGTTGTGGAAGCTTCAAGGTTCCAGTCCTGGCTATACCCCTGTCCAGATGAATCACTTCTGTCTGCGCACAGTTTCCTTATCTGTCCAGTATGGCCCCAGCCTCTCAGTGCTGGTTAGGACTGGGTGAGGACATGAGGACAGTGTGAGGAAAGCACTGAGCCTAGGGATGCTGCCAGCACCATGGTGACCTCTATCTCCACCCCGCCCATTCCTCCCGCTCTCCCGGTGCGTGGTGGTAACCCTAGGGCCAGGGGGTGCTGTCAGAGAAGCTCCGAAGCTTCAGCATGCAAGACCTGACCCTGATTAGAGATGAGGATGCACTGCCCCTGCAGGGGCCTGATGGCCGCCTCCGACCTGGCCCTGGTAGCCTCCTGGACACCATCGAGGACTTAGGTACAGATAGGGTCCAGGGTGGGGGAAGGGAACCACCAGTGCAAGGAGGCCAGGTGGAAGAGACCCCGGGTCTCCTTTTCTCCTTGCAACCAGGAGATGACCCTGCCCTGAGCTTAAGATCTAGCACAAACCAGGCAGATCCCCGGACAGAGACCTCTGAGGATGACATGGGAGACAAGGCTCCCAAGAGGGCCAGATCCATCAAAAAAGTGCCCAAAGCTGAGGTGAGCACACAGGGCAGAGCCTGGGGAAATGGGGAGGGGGCTGTGGTTCTAAGGCTGAGCCCTGTCTTCCTCCTCCTTTCCACAGCCACTGACTTCCAAGACACTGAAGACTCGGCCCAAGAAGAAGACCTCTGTTGGGGGTGACTCAGCCTGAGGTCTTCCACCCCACAGGGTGCAGAGCAAGGAGGAAGCCTCAGAAAGGGCTCAGCCCCAGCCCCTGCTCCACACTGTGCCAGTAGCCCAGGTGTCCCAGGCCCCTGTGGCCCTTCTGCTATCTCTGGTGCCTGCCCAGTGGCCACTCCTCTGGAAGGGGCTTGGAAAAGAGGAGGGGGGCCCAGCTGTGGGGGTTGAAGGTAGATGCTGGATCAGGGACTGAGGTCTGGGCTGCCCATGGAGGTAGGGGCTCCTCAGCCCACCCCACTGCTCTCCCTGCTCCAGCCCTGCCCCCACCCACCCAGTGCCTTGCTGAAGACCACGGCCACCCCCTTCTCTAAGGTCCTACATGCTCCCACTGCTTGTGGTGGTGGAAGCCAGTCACAGCTCAGGTGGACCAAGAATGGGCCTAAAGGCACCTGAAAAGGGGAGCAAACAGGGAAGGTCTCAAGAAACTTGGGCAGGGCCTCTAAGCCACAGCTATGAGTAGAGAGGAGTGTTAGCATGTGCTTAGTGACCAGGATGGCCAGGCCAGAGCTGCAGCGGGGGGCTCTTTTCCTGGGCATTGGGTAGGGCTGTATGCTACATGTCCTCACATAAAGATGTGGGAGTGCCAAGGTGTTTATGTGTCTGTCTGTCTGGGTGTAGGGCTGGGGGCAGTTTGTGTGAAGAATTCACCCTCTAGTGGTCCCCTCCTCCCACCCCCAGTATCTGAGCTTAAGTGGAACCCAGCCCATGAGAGAATGGGGTCTAAGAGCCTCTTGCTTCTTCCTCTGCTCTTGATTCCTTTCATATCACCCATTCCCACCCTACCCCTGGCTGGATCTCTCCGTTCCTCAGGGCCCACTATATAGGCCCCTGCAGAGCTGTCTCCTTTCCTCTTCATGTGTGACCTGTCCTCCCTTGCCCCAGGGTTCCCTTCCTGTGCTAGGCAGACCGAGTCCTATACAAGCAAACCCTGTCAGAGCCCAGCCTCCACCCCATACCCTGGCCCTGCTTTTGCTGTGGCTCCAATCAGGGTCAACAGGAGTATGAAGAAGACAAAAGTGTGGGGGCTGTGGGGCTCCCAACACCTTGGAGAGGGGGTGCCCATTGGACTTTTGGCACTGGATGAGCCAATAAACCAAACTCTGGCACCTCATTTATTTTGGCCTCTGCTTTGTTCTTGCCCCATCCAGTCAGCAGGTAGGAAGGATCTTAAGTGAGAAGCAGATGGCTTGGCGCCTATAGCTCAACCGGCTAAGGCGCCAGCCACGTACACCTAAGGTGGCGGGTTCGAATCCCCAGCCCGGACCCGCCAAACAACAATGACGGCTG